TACAAGAGAAATGATGCAATGCCCCTGATGTTTAGGCTTAGGAACTGGACTTGACGTTTTGAGCCATTGGTCGTGTGGTGTGACTCCGTCTATATAGATCTGGGGGTTGGTGAGCGAGTCTGCATGCGTGGCGTAGGTTAATTAACTTTTTTTGTCTTTCATTTCAAGAATTCAAGTAGGAGTAGTATATATAGATCGATAGATGGCGTGATGTTAACTAAATGCACGCGTTCCCAAATGAACAACCGACAGGCAAATAGTAGTAGTCCTGGAGGGACAAATGGAACTCTGCCGTTTGTACTTACAAGCTCGAAAGAGAGATAATAAGTAAAAAAAAAAAGAGGAGCATGTGCTCTGGGATTTGCTGGAGAGAGAGAAAGAGAGAGAGAATCAAAGGAATCACCTGGCCGGCTCCGTGATGTTTTTTTTTTGCTTTGTCCCGTCTGTTCTGCATGTTTGGACGTGCGGTTTAGGTTGTCGTTTGTGCTGTCTGTCTGGCTCTACCGTCCACACCACACCAGTGCACCACCACCGCCTGCCGGCGCTTGTTAATCCCCTAATTAAGTGGTTGGTTAAGTACAAATTAACAAATCCCTCAAAAAAAAGTACAAATTAACAAATCCCTCAAAAAAAAAGTACAAATTAACAAAACCGCCAAGTGTGGCAACCTTTTCTCGCTGTCGCGTGATTCTCCTCGATCTCCTCGGTGCGTCGCAGCTGCCCGCTTATTAGCGTACAACAGCAGTAGGAGTAGTAGTAAGAATAAGAACTCTCTTCCTTTTCAGGCTCCTGGTTCAGTTTCAACAGCAAAGAAGGGCTGCCTCGGTCGCTTTTCAACCCATACAGGAGGCAGGACCGTGTACGTGCAACATATAATTAAGCTAGCTGCTTATATGGTTTTGATTGATCAGTTAGGTTAGGTGCGTCCCTTCCTTTTGGCGCATGGTCTTTTGAAGATGATTAATAATTTGTGAGATGATGATTGTATGATGATCAGGAGGATCAGCTGATAATAAGTCGTCGTTAGCGGGCGGGCGAGGTCTATAATGCATGGCTGAGGTGGGGCGCGCGCAGACAAGCAAGTTGTTGAGCGAGGCATGCCCCGTCCGTCCGTCCACATGCGTTTGCAGGCTTAATTTCCTCTTGTGCTTGCTGCCCAGCTGCTGTTGGAGTGTCCCCGTCAGCCAACAGAAGCGTACGCCCGTCAACCGATCAATGAAATGTACGTATATCCGGACGGAGTTGGTGCGGATTCGGTATGTATGATCCACGTGCCCGGCTCAACGTGCGTGCATGCATGCACCCAGCTCGATCCACCGCTTGACACCATCCGATCCACTACGATCCATCCAGCAGAAAAGATCGGTCGAGAGTGCAGCGAATTGGTTGCACGGCTTGATGAGTTCAGTTCAGCCAGTCAGTATAAAAACGTACGTGTACGTACTCCAGCGTATGTGATTAGCTTAGGCATCGCCATCCAAGTTGCCATGATAATGTACGTATATATTTGTGTCAAGTTGTAGGTGTCTAGCGGCGGGCGAGGCTTTGCTTGCCTGGGTTGCCATATGTGGCACCGTCAAGTCACAGATTAATAGACAGGCAGATCGCGCATGAGGCGTGCGGCTGACCCGTGCACGATGCGTCGCGTACAATGATACCGCTGGCTGCCACTGGATTATGGTCATGCACGTACGCAATACTATAAACCAAACACTACGCCGAAAGCAACAACAAAGTGTTGATCCCACAACAAAGAGAAAAAATCCAATAAAAATA